AGAGCAGGTGGATAGGTTTTGTTATCTGGGCAGCTACATCTCACCCGGTGGACACATCACGGATGAAGTGTCAGCTCGCATACGGAAGGTTCGATTGGCATTTGCCAACTTGAGACATCTGTGGCGCCGTCGCGACATCCGGCTGTCTGTGAAGGGTCTAGTATATGCTACAGTAGTTCGGCCAGTTCTGCTTTATGGAGCAGAAACTTGGCCATTAAGAAAACAGGACAAATATACATTGTCGGTGTTTGACCTCAGCTGTCTACGTAGCATTGCACGAATCTGGTGGGACAGCCGGACTAGCAATGCTGAAGTCAGGCGAAAAGTTTTAGGCAATCGCGGTCGCCCACTGGAGCAAGTGGTCGACCTCCATAGAGTACGCTGGTTGGGGCATGTTACACATGTCTCCAAATAGGTTGCCACGGCGAGCGATGTTCGCCGAAGCAGATACCGAGTGGAAAGAAGCCAATGGTGGTCAAGTTACGACCCGGCATGAGGGTAGGAAAACCCTAACCAGGAGTCTAGGTCACACAAGTCTCGTTGGGCTCCCTGGCTGTGAACCTCGGGATGATCGTACCTGATGGATAGAGACACTGAGTGATATGGTTGGGTGTCGTAAACAGTGGCGTTCGTGCATCTTAATTTCTCTGTATCAATAATCCACTGAACTTTTCAATTTTCTCTTCGGTCCTACTTTTAAACTCTCCTGTCTTTTTCCTAATGTTCATCGAAATGGGCAGCCGAAAGATAGCAACCGAAGCCGGTGCACTATAGTGCATGGTTAATGGTTATGCAAACAAACTGATAAATTCAAAGCGTTCTTCTGATGTTTCTATTTAAATCCATGAGACGTCTTCATCAATCAACGGAAAACTGTTCATCACTAAGTTGACATTTGCGTATACCATTTCATCATACATAAGTTATTCACTGTTTATGGAATCTTAAATCCTACCGGCAGGTTGGCATTTGCCACAGTCTATGGCATACTTATGCTGCACATCGTTTCCGGATCCATTTTGGAAAGAAAGCTTACGGCAAATTTCAGTTTTGTCTGCTTCTTTTATTTCCATACAGTACTAATGGTTTATGCAGATTTCCACGGTTTCTGTTAGAATTTGGACTCATCATCCCCGGATATTCATATAACTGTTATCTCCAAAACGCATAAATCCGGATAACGTGGTTTTTTGACTGCCAGCTTTATCGACTTATCGATCCAGAGAGAGGTCTTCTGATCATCAGCCGGCAGTCAAGGTCGTTTTATCTGCCGCAAACGGTCTCACTAATTAGGGATGAACAGACACCTTTCTCATGACCTCTATCAGCAGACTAGGCTTTTGCAACCGACAAGGACCATCACCGGTTCAACAAACATTGATTTAATCACTTCAAATCCACCTGGAAATGAAAGAGCTGAATCGCACAGAGCACGTAGACGTAGTAGCGAACATGGTAGAGAGAGTCATAATCAGATCAGACACGAGTCATGGCACAATAGCACTCAACCGGATACTCACGAAAAACCCAAGAAAAAACATGAAAAGCATAAGCCGGATGAAACGAAGAAAAAACACAATAAATCGGAAAAGAAACAGGGAGAAAAGAAAAAGCATCGGAGTGGGAGCACGCACAAACCACGAGCAAAGGATGCTCGCTCGAAACAGACAGCTTTTGACAGTTTTGATGAAGAACTGTTTGTTGGCATGGCCAAAGGTGAGGCGGACAAATCAAGGTCCAAATCGGGTGGTTTGAAATCAAAATCAAAAATGTCTCTGCATAAAAGTATCAATAAAACGGATCCGAGTGAGCATTCAATGAAATCGACGGAAAAACCCGTCGGTGGTGATCCGAACCGCGCTGCTGCCGTGAAACGGCGACCATCAATTGAGATAGAAGTGTTTAAGGAGATACCGATGGCTAAACGTCTTGTAAATATACCAATGCGTGCATTGGCCGTGGTGATTGAGCTTCATTTGATATGGTGGCTAGTTCAATTGCTCATGCTTGTCTGGATGACAACCAGAGTGGATTGGCAATTGCGTGTTCGTTCCCCGTTGGTATCTTGGCCCGGCTATTCACCTTCTCGTATGCCATGGTTGCCTGGACAAATAAACATGCGAAACCGTCTGTATGCTGTTTGGATTAGTTTGGGCGCGTTCTATCTGCCGCTGGTCATTCTACACATGACGAAATATGTGGATTACATCCCGAAGCCGTAAGTTGACTACAGTTAGCTGACTTTGTTTGCAACGTGTAAAGTCTCTAGGGCTAATGTGGTTTGCAATCGGACTGACTGACTACGATTCTGTTTGAGCTGGGATATCGAATCTGGCATTGGCACACGAGTGCAGTCCGTTTTGGCCCACATAAGAGATAAGCCAGTTCATTGTATGAGCAACTAATGCTGTATCATACTGTACCCTTTTTATTACACACTTGTGTGATGCTGCACAACAACAGTTGGGACGGACCTCATAGTCACGAAGATCTTCTGTTCAGTGGTAATAACCTGTAACCTAAGCCCCGGGACTTGGAGTGGTGAACCACATTAGGCCCGGCTAGTTCAGGCGTTTGTAAAGAACAGCCCGACAGCAAAGCTATCTGCCACCAAAGTTTGGTGGTGGTGGCGGGACTCGAACCTCAGACCACGATCCAAAGTACGCCAGTGACAACGACTCAACTATTGTACCATCACCACTTGTCTTACGTTTGACAGGAAGAAGAAATCAGGTAGAAATAGAAATAGAAATCTAAACCAAATAATGATGATAGTCCATTTGTTTCTGAACGCAGATATTCGTTGAAAAAAGAGGCAGAACTGCAGCTGACTGGTGACACGCGGACTGGGAAAGCACGGATGATGGTGAGGGGATTGGAACTATTGACCTCCAGTTTGCTTTGGTCGTTTGCCTTCGTTACTTGACCACACTGTTTTTTTATCATTATACACTTTCGTGTGATGAACAGCCAACGGGGTAAACCCCGTGGTCATGAGGACCTGCTGTTCAGCGATGGAAATATGCTAGTATACTGATAGGTTACATAGGACCGAAAAAGTTTTAGATATTATCATTATGATCATCGCAATTGAAGACTCACTATCCTAACAGAGAATGACAAGCAGGAATGAAGTATGAAACCGTTCAGGAACTGAGCGTGTTTCTGTTGCTTTTCATGCGTACACTTCAGCTAGAAACTGAGCACTCTACGTACCTGACTATCGGTGGCGGGTCTGATCCTCACTTGGTTTGCTCTGGCACGGAAACCTGAAGTGATCGAAACCGATGTGCAGTGCTTTTGGTATTCATCATTAGTATGTATCCTTTGCTGTGTAACCGAAGAAATTCATGCAGTCCAACTGCCTCCTCTGCTGCTCGGTTATAATCATGTCCATTAAAATGTCATTATTTCAAATCTTGCGAGTTTAAGTGACTCATCTAAGCTGATTTAGACTCGCTTCGTTATAAGGTTTCGCTTTCGTAGTCCCGCATTCCCCACCAAGGTGTCGAAGACGTGTAATTTGCCATAGGTGGTTTACCAACAAGAACTAGTACAAAACACCATTTAGGAGACTCCGTCATATAGGTCACGTTAGGCTCTTTGAATTGGGATCTCAGGATCATCGTAATCGGTGGTTAGAGACACTGAGTAATATAGATGAGTTCCGTAAACAATGGCATTCGTGCATCTTCTCATTTTCGTGGCAACCTTAGTTCAACAAAATTCTCCACTTTCATTTTTCATTGCTGTTCTACTGCTTCATCCAATTGGGTAGCCAAAAGACAGCAACCAAAACGGTTGCACGAAAGTACATCAGTTCAGTTCTTACAACTATTTACCATGTATTTTCGTGCACCGGTTTTGGTTGCCCGTTTGGATAAAATAGCAGAATGATGAGAACAGATTTAAGCGGAAGGTAGCACATCACGACGAGACTGCACCTTGACACGGTGTGATGGCTTGCGCGCCTCAATGACCCTGAGAGCTATACAAGATGGCTCCTCAGCCGCAGATCTAATCATGCCTGAAACGTCAACGGGTAGAGGCCAGACGACGCTCAGTCTCACAAGATCAGCTGTTTGGGAAACTCCTGCCTTCCTTTTCTATCCACACCCGCCCTTGGAGAGATCACTCCAGTAAATAAACACGGCGAGGGGCAGTTTACCGGTTCAGAGCCAATCGATACCGATTCAGAAAGGAAAGAGGTAGGCCAAACGTGGCGAAAACTGTTGAACATTATCCAAGTAGTCCGAAAATTTTGAAAAACCAGAAGAATCGGATATGGCCTGACAATCGTTCGTCACTGTAAATTGTACTCGAAGTAATGCGTGCACAGCTAATACGGTTTCATTGAATGGAATTCAGCCGTGAGCGTAACACTACACGCGACTTAATTCTGCCTCATTTACGGCCCCGAGGAGCAAGAGAACTCAAATGACCCTTCCTAGGCTATTGAGGACATACGATCAGCTACTTCACGGGATGTGGTAAACAGATATGCGATACACCAGAGCGTCTCATTCCCAAAAGTGAATTTATAGTTCTCCTAACTCAGTCGTCAGTTTTCCAGTCCAAAGTGTTAGTCCTTCAATCCATCTCGAAATGATCTACTTCAACTAATTCCCCCTGACTGGCGAGGTAGTAGAGGAAATGAACAAGTTTTGCTATCTGAGCAGCTATATCTCACCTGGCGGACGCATTACAGATGAAGTGTCGGCGCGCATACATAAGTCTCGATTAGCATTTGCCAACTTGAGACATCTGTGACGCCGTCGCGACTTCCGGCTGTCCGTGATGGATAGAGTAGATGCTGCAGCAGTTCGGCTAGTTCTGCCTTACGGTGCAGAGACTCGGCCATTACGGGAATAGGATAAAAATAGATTGTCGGTGTTCAAACACCGCTAATTATGTCGCATTACGCGAGTCTGGCGGGGCAGCCGGGCCGAGCAATGCTGAGGTCAAACGTAGAGATTTAGGTAATCGTTTGCAATACAATTGCCAAGCTCGGGGAACAACT